TTTTTCAAGTAAATGAGCAGCGGTTGTTGTGAAAGTAGCATCCCTGATTCTTAGTGAAAAAGCACTAAACAGGAAGCATGGAGAAAGACTGGCAAAAAGATCTCTGTTGGACACTGTCATTTGCATTGGCCTTGCAAGGCCTCAATCTCCATTTCAGCTAGAAAAGATCAGCATAAGGAGTGGCAGAATTGGGGTGTGAATTTGTGCTGATTCAGTGTATTTGCTTCCTTGTTTCTAATGGTGTGCCCTACCATTAGAAACAAGGAAGCAAATACACTGAATCAGCACAAACAACACCTGGGACAGAATCAGAGATTTTATCTTAAAGACTAGACTCTCAGTTGAACGCATTGATGCCATCCACATTTTATGCAGTGGTCACCACACGCTGACCTATTTCCCATTTCGGTAGACTTCCCACAAAGTCCAAGCTTTTTGTGATGAATCATGAAAATGATCTCACACGATGTTCCTGCACCAAGTCAACAGAGATGTCATCTTGGGCGGGATAACACTGTTTGCCCTTAGGCTGTTACAGATAAGAATACAATGTGTCATGTTGAAGGCTACTTCCCCACCCCAAGAAAAAACTGACTTCTAAGATTTTGTAGGATTAGTATTCCAAGTGTGTATTGGTATACTCCATGTGCCTCCTACTTAGTGGGATGCAGTCAATGTTACTGTATGTGGGCTTGAGATAGTCCCTAGATTACAGATCTTAACATGGAAATAAGATTGGGGTAAATCTGGTTTGGGTTGCACTTCTGGGATACTAGCCAAAATGTACCAAAACTGACCAGGATAATTTTTACCATTAGCAGGGAATGTTGTGCATAACATGGATGTGACTAAGCCTGATGACCTAGTCTGGACCTTCTCTATACTAAAAAGCATTATGTGAAAGCCTCAAAAAGGCTAAAATGTATGTCAGAAAGTATGAATTGGTGTCACCTAGGAAAGATGGAATCTATAGATTCATAGTACCTGCATGTCACATTCCAGAGGATGATGATGTTGGAAAAAACAAACATGAGTTTGGGGAAAATTGTGCAAAATTCTGAAGGAATGTGATCAAAGTGGGGGCTGGGAGGATATTCTGTTAGGTGACATGAATGGATGGGTGCAAATAAGATGACAAAGTACAGAGAACATGATTAAGATATTCAGAGACCCAAGAATGACTGAAAATGGTGAATCTTTGGTGAATAACTACTTAGAAAAGATAACTATTTATTGTGAATACATTGTTTAAACTAAGACTACTGTATTCATAAATATCCACGGAAAAATAAGTATTTAAAAAGCATGACTAATTTCATTGTTTATCATGAAAGACTAAGAGAATACAAGGAGACAAGAATGATGAGAAATTCTCAGTGTGGGACAGATCATCAAGTGTCAAGAGTGGATTTTGGGAATAAAGGGGCGTGGAAGGAAAGATGTGAAAAGAACATGAAGACAGAACAATTGCAAGAACAGAAAGTATGAATTCTATATTACTTGTAGATTAATCTCCCAACAGAATTAATGGAAATTAAACGTAAGAAAATAAGATGTGGACGCTGCTTGGAGCAGAGATTTATGTTACAGAAAGTCACAGAAATGTGTAGAGTTACACTAAGGGGGAAGTATGAAAAAGAATGCCTGGGGAAATGAGGATTCTTACAACATTCCTTAGGATGGATGGATGGATGGATGGATGGATGGATGGATGGATGGCCATTGCTGTGGATAAGAAAATTTGCATTAAAAATGTGCTGCAAAAAATAAAGGTAAGAAAAATATACTGAATAATGTTTAAAGAGAGAAAATATAGTTTGAAAAAATATAGTCAAAGAGCAAGGAATGGTCAAGATTCAAGGAGGGAGAGAAAATGCAGAGCAATTTTGATGTAAATAAAAATACTATATTATTAAATAATTTATATATTATTTTGAAAGTGTGTGAAAAAAGCTAACAAGGAGCCTCCAGCAGAGTGCATGTAATTAAAAATACATGTGATTTGGGATGGAACTGAAGTGTGGGAATGCTGGTATGAATATATTAGTTTTATATGGGAATAATGGTGATGTGTTGAAGAGTGGGTTTGAAAGAAATACTATAAATTCCAGTACCTATTTTAAAAATTGATGAAGAAGTAATAAATGTTGTGAGAAAGCTTTCAAATGGTAAGGCTACAGGAATAGATGTTCTATCTGGAGAAATATTAAAATACGGTTGTGGTTTGTTTATGGAGTAGCTATGTGATTTGTTAACTATGTGTTAACATTTGTAAAGACTGCATCCATGCTTGACAATTGTTTCCTTATACAAAATGAAAAGTAGTAGGAGTGAATGCAAAACTCTTGGAGTTTTGGAGTCTGTATACCCAGGTAAAATTTGGTAATTTGGTAAAATTTGGCATTTGGTAAAATTCTGACTGAAATGGTAGGCGTGATGACAACGAGCAAAATTTGGAAAGTACAGTGTGGTGTTATGCCGGGCATGCGGTGTACAGACCAGATTTTTGCTCTTCAGCAGGACACCTAGAAACATGTGAATGTCAAAATGTGCATTGTATGTTTGATTCAGAGAAAGCATATGATAAAGCAGAGAGGCTTGAATTAAAGAATGTTTTGTACTAGTATGAAACTGAAGGTTTTTTACTGAATGCAGTAACATATATGATGGAAACATGTACAGTATGAGAATAAATGGAATGCTTTGTGAAAGATTCAACACTGAGTGGACAGTATGATGTCCCCTTGGTTGTTTTAATGTATTTATGGATGTGCAATTTCTTGTTATTTTTAATGCAATTTATCTACCATCTCTATGCAGGTAGACTCTAGATGGTTTACAGATATTACTACATGAAACAATGAATCATACAGATTATATTCATTATTTAAATCTCATTTAAGTGACGTAGGCAACAATGTCTCCACAATCAGTCCCCAAAGGCTTTCTAAAAGAGACAGTTTTTACCAATCTCTGGAAGGCCATGAGAATTAAGGTCATCCTCATTTCAGGGGGAAGCTTTCCATAGGAGAGCTCCCATGGAGAATGCCCAACCATGTCTAGTTAATCCATACCCTCCATAGTTGCTAACAACTTTCTCCAAGGAATGCTTGTGTTGACATAGGTATGCAGCCAATGCCAAGTTGTTGGCTGAGAATGCAAATAATTTGCCGCAAATTTTAGATACATTGTGTAATGCATGAAAAACATGGATCTAAAAATTAATGTATCAAAGACCATGGAATTTGTTTGATAGGACACATTGAAATGAATTCAAGTTATAAACTTTTAATGTATAAGCATAATAAGATGTAGTAATATTTCCATTTTGGCATTTTTTTGGCTTGTTTCTTTGGCTTATTCTTACTTATTTCTTATAATTTTGTTTACCCTAAAAGGGAATAATGTGATGGGTTTGTATGTATGTATGCATATTCTGAGAGGTGCTGTGTGGAATTCAAAAAGCTAAGCAGGATTGGCCTAGCTATTACTATCATCAAGGTTACATACCTCCAGAGAGTCTGGACATCTGACAACATTTCATAAATGTAAGTTAATTATGTAGCTAGAGACCATACAAAGGAAAATGATCCTATGAACGTTGTATATCTTAATTATTGTTCCATGCAAGCCTCAGGCTGGCATATTTACAGAAATAATTGTTTCCATTCAAGAATGAACCAAATTAGTAATATGCAAGAGGGGAGTGGATGGCTTCTATCCTTTAACTACCTATCCAGCTTAATTATTAGTATTTGGAATATCATCATTCCTAAAGTCTCACTTTAGGAAGGAGACTTTTATATGGATGGTTCCATCCATATAAAAAGCCAGAGGCAGTCTCCTGAATGGCCACTGCTTCCAGCCATGTCTTTACATACTGGAAATATCTGAGGTACTTTACTATTTTTTAACTATTTCTTCCTATGTAGGTATCTCTAAATGGATAGATATAACCTAATCAGAGACCAACAAACTTGATGGGATGACAGAGAGGGACTGTGTGGGCTATTTTAGGTCCATTTGCTACCATGTAGTACATACTACAGAGTACAATAATTCTAGGTACCCATATAGGGGCTAGAAGCTAGCCTGGAAAATTAAAAAGAAAAGGTAATGGCAATCCACTTCCATATTATTGGTAAGAAAACTATATGGTCATTTTACAAAGTCCCCATTCTTCAAATCTGACTAGGGGAAGAGTTGTTTGTGGGGAGGGTGCAAGCACTCTGTAAGACACATGCCTCTTAGTCACAGGCTGCCTAGGCATTTTTCTTGCCTTTCGGTTAAACCAGCTGGAGAGAAACACGAAGGGACTTAAGTTGCAGAGCCCAATAAGCAAAGGTTACCAGGTGGAGGAAAGATTACTGCACACAAAAACTCACAGATTTAAATGTGTGGGTGAGCAACAGCACTTAATGAAAGAATTGACTGGCTAGTGCTATGTATGAACAAAGGCATGTGTGTATGTGTTTCAGACAGAGAGAGGGAGAGAGAGACACTCCTGTTAGGTTCTTCCAGGTCCATCATGTCATGGTGAGGCAAGCAGGGTGTGTAATGTTGACTCTGCCCTAGGCTGTTCCTGTAGGCATATGGAATTCTCTCTCTCTGCTTCTTCTGAGCAAGTGCTGAACTCCCTTTAAATTGTTGTACATCCTCCAAAGAAAAAGAAAACACAACAGAGTGACCGGGACCCCTTGCAGGAAGTTTCCAGGCCAACAGCTGCCACCACTCAGTGATCTCTGCATTTGTAACTCCCACCAGATACTTCTGAAAAGGGAAGGGCTGCTGATGAAAAGATAACTGGCTGTCATAACCCTCCCTCCTTTTGCTCCAAGTTAACCTCTTTAAGTCCAGCTATTACAAGCGATTGCTGATCAGCATTACCACACTTGGCGAGGCAAAGTGCCTCCTGGGTGGGGAGAACGGAGAAAGCAGTCCTGGACTTTGACCTGCCTCTGGTGGAGCGCCAGTCCTCCTCGCTTTGGCCTCCAGGACCGCGGAGTTGTTGGAACGCGCACAGTTGTTAGCATTTCACAAGCCGCGAGAGGAGCAAAAAGCTGGGCTTGGCAGAGGCGGGACGGCCGCGTGCGTCCTCCTTCCTTTCTGCACCGGGGAGTCAGGGCAGTTCCCCTAGCCGGACCAGAGCAACCCGCAGCTTTCGTTCCCAACAGAGGAAGGGGGGACGGTACCCCACTCCACCCCCTCAAGCCCTGGAGGCCTTGCCGCACCCATAACCGCTTCTGCTGGTTTGCGGAGCTGACAGGGACAGGGACAGGGCCGGGCCAGGCGCTGCATCTCTGCCCACTTGGAATTCTGTCTTGAAGTCGCTGCTTGCCAAACGCCTCACCTGCTTAAGGTGGAACCGCCTGTCCTGCTCTGCCTTAAAGCCTGCCTCCTTGCTGATGTCAGTTGCTAGGGAGAGGGGTGTAACCACGTAGGTGTGTTAAAGTAAGGGGGGAGGACCGGGCGAGAAGAGTCCCAGGAAACCAAAACAAGGCGTGGGGGAAGACGGGGATGGCGTGGGACTGGGAAGGTTACAGGAGGCTCTCTGTGTGCGCGCGCGCCCTGAGTGGAACAACTTCTTGATCTGAGGTAGAGAGGAGGGCCTGCCGCACCCACCTGTGGACAAGTTCGCGCCTTTACGGAGTGTGGAAGTGTCGCTCGGACTCAGAGAAGAGGAGCCGAAGGGTTGTCAGACACCCCGCTCCCCGCCCGGACTGTCTCGCTAGGTCAAACAAGGCCTCAGCGCCTGGCAGGGCCCACCACCAGAGAAAGAGTCGGACTGTTTTCATGTCCCCCTTGCCCAGCTGCTGCCACCATGCAGGAAAATAATTTCTTCTTGTCGGCTCTGCAGCCGGAGAATGGCGTGTGCTCCTTGGCGCTGCCCTCAGACCAGCAGCTCGACAGGAAGCGCAAGGAGGCTCCGGACGCCGAAGTGCTCAAGAACGCCCGGGTGCAGGAGCAAGTCCGTATGAGGATGCTGCAGAAGACCCACTCGGTCCCCGGGACCAACGGAGCCGTGCCGGACTACGCGGAGTTGAAAGGTAGGCACTGGGATGAGGGACGGAGGTAATGGCCTTGGCGCCTTTTTCCAGAGCAAACCGGGTGATGTAAGGAGGCATCCATTTAGGCCAGTAAAACCTTGGCCACTTTAAGATGAGTAGACTTCAACTCCCAGAATTCCCCAGCCAGCATGGCTGGC